GAGGCTGAAATGATTTGCCCAAAAAATTATTTTGTTTTTTATATAATAATATAAATAATCAAATATATAAAATAATATTATATATATATATATATATATATATAAATTTCCGGACCAGCCCAAGTTGAGTACAATTCGGACTGGCCCAACCCAATTTGTTTCGGGTTGAGGTTGGGTTGTGACCGGATTAAGTTGGACCAATCCAAGTTGCAACCCTAATCAAAGAACAATACCTAATGATTGCAATCATTTAGAATAGAAGTTGAATTCCAGTTGTTATCATGTTAGATTGAGTAGAACCACTCCGTACTATTTCGGCTATTGCAGACGATATCAGAGTCAACCGCTGAAGAGAAATTCTCCGTTCGTCAAAATATAAAAGCCTAAAAGTGACACACGGCGAACTCTCCGGCGATTGTGCTACACCCTCAACCCCTAGTGTACAAAGAGGACAGAATAGACGCTCGGACCATTTTGAATTCCCAACGTTTCTTCAGGTGTGGGCCCTAGAGCACTTGTCGTGCCCTCATGTTGCCCAGATTGATGCTTGGTTTGGTTAGGACATGAACCCCCGTCGGAGGGAGCACTTATCTGCTATTGGTTTGTCCGATAGCTTTGAGAAATAGTATAGGGCTTTTCTTGCTGTTCGCATTAGCCAAATATGTTTAGGGCATTGTTTATTCTTGAGCCAAATAAGTTCGGGCACTGATTATTCGTGAGCTCAATGAAAAAACAGGCTGATGAAGTTTTTAAATTTCTATGCTTCCAGCTGCAATAACATATCACATCCATCTGATCATTCTTTCCACGAGATTTCGTTCAGCCAAATCCCCATTCAACACAACCATTTATTGAGAAAGAAAAAAAATGTACCCAAACTCCCGTCTCCAATTGAGTAACAATGGCACAATCAACTGTGTATTCAACAACCATAAATCAAAATCTAAAGACACAGACCACAAATATCCATCAATGAAATTCTTTGGCCAAAATCGCACAAATATCTCTGAGAAAGATCAAGATGAAAGCCGACCCATGTTCACAAGAGTCTTCATAACACTTGCATATAGCATGATGCTTAAGAAAAGAAGAGAAAATAGAAAGCAACTTCAACATAATTTGAGACTCCCTCCATTGGCCATAGTTTAAAAGCCCTTAACCGACATAGTTTAAAAGCAGAAGATACATTGTCATGAAACATTGGTGGGCAGTCTTTGAGCATCCTCTGAAAACAGAACCAACAGTACCTGCAAAATTTCCAGGTCCTTCATGAGTTTTGAGCTCATACATTTCTAATGAAAAAGAAGACACTCCTTTGTTCACATTCACATATAGAACTGACAACCTAAGAATCAAACAAATTCATAACGGAAAGATGCCAACAGGAATAATTTGGATTTGTAAATAAGCAAAGGAAAACGGAGGTTTAAATCATCACCAATACCTGAAAGCTGCCATTCAGGCACGTCCTATAGCCCTCCTGATGACTAATGAAAAAGTAGACACTCCTTTGTTCACCAGAAGATCTAACACTTGAAATGTTTTCTTTGTTTGAGCTTCCATATTTGTGCAGACCTCCAAACTGGCACTGCTTTTAAACCTCTGTAAATGAAATGACTGCAATAAACCCGATTTCCCATGCCAAGAGTGTGTCGAAATTGACCTCCGTTGCCGCTGAAGCGGCCTTCTAGTTGATTTCTTCTGCAAAAATGGAAGGTAACCAATTAATTCAATGGTAACATTTTACGACCACCTTACTCTTTGAACCAAGTAGTGAAATCAAGGCTTTGCTGAGTTGTTCTATACAACAAAATCATACAGACTCATGATAAGATGATACAGTGATTTTGCCATGACAAAATGTGAGTAGAATTATGAGAATTTACATTATCTATATAGTAAAGTTCTGGTGTAGCCTCCCATAGGTGAATTTTTAATTCATTACTATATTCCTACATATTGGGAAAGTCTTCACATGTACAAGTATTTCTTTGACATTTAACGCAAATAATGGATAAATGGTATTTGGAGCGGTTGACTTGCTTGGTATGTAATTCTGAAAATAATTCTTAAAAATTCAGAGAACAAAAAAATAGTTTTTCAGATAACAATAAAAAACAGTTATTTGAAAATAGATTTTTTTATAACTAAATTTTCATAAAACAGTTTTCAAAAAACTAAAACTAATTAGAGTTTTTTTATATAGTTTTTTATTTTCAGTTTTCTGAGAATAGAAAACTATTTTCAAAATTACAAACTAAGCAAGACCGAATTACACACACAAAATGACATGGTATCACCATTGTATTGAAGTTTTTCTCTCACATATTCAAGTTTGTAGAGTATATACCATCTTCTGTACAAACATATATTTCATTGTCTATGATCTGTATAAGTGAATATTGGAGTGAAAGTAATATACTCCCTCTGTCCCATAAATAGAATTGTGGGCTACTAATATGGGACAGAAAAAATAACAAATGCTTCATTATATGCAAGCATACATTTTCTTCCCAAATATAGAAATAAAAAAAGGAGACAGAGAAACTCCAATTCTGTTTAGTATTGTTCTTTTAAAACCCTTTTAATCAGTAAAAATCAACTCAAAAATATTCTAATTTTCACTTGACTAAATAGTAAGAAGTTTAAATATGCTATATATAAATTTATGAGGAAAAAATGCTATAAAATCATTGAAAGGGATTTAACCTTAAATTTATGTTCCTAAAAGGCACATTATAATCTATATACAAACAAGAAATAGTCATATGTGCCAATATTATTAAAGGCTCAAGGCACACTAGGGCGCAAGGCGCACGGCGAGACGCACGTTTGAGGGATGCGAGGAGCACAAGTGAAAATTTAAACTACCATAAAAGCATTCATATCTCATAAGTCATCAATATTCTAAAAATTAATATTAAATTTAAAAAAGTAAATCCATTAACTATACAAGCATTCAGCGAATATGGGAGAGAGGAAGTAACAAATCAGCGAACTATCACAATTAGAAGAACTTAACTTGAAATGCTAATAGCTCACTATCCACAATCGTGCTTCATTTTATACGAGTATACATATTCTTCCCAAATAAAAAAATAAAAAAAAGGAGACCGAGAGAAACTCCAATTCGGTTTAGTATTGTTCTTTTAAAATCCTTTTAATAAATAAAAATCAACTCAAAAATATTTCAATTTTCACTTAACTAAATAGTAAAAGGTTTAAATATGCTACATATAAATTTATGGGGGAAAATGTTGTATAATCATTGGAAGAGATTTAACATTAAATTTATGTTCCAAAAAGGCACATTATAACCTATATACAAAGAAGATATAGTCATCTGCACACCAAGGCGCTAGGCGCTAGGTGCAAGGAGCACGGCGAGGCGCACAATTGAAAATTTAAACTACCATAATAGTATTTATATCTCATAAGTTATCAATATTTTAAAAATTAATATCAAAAATAAAAAGTAAATCCATCAACTATACAAGCATCCAACAACCATAGAACAAAACACAAATTTGTTTTCTTGAAAGGCAAAACATAATTTGTTTTTCTTGAACGGCAGAACATAGCACAAAAAGAAAAGAAAAAAAAAACTTTTAAAAAGGAAAGAAAATAAAATTCAAAAAAAAAAAAAACGTTGAACAAGAAAAGGAAAAAAAAAACACATACAAAAGAAGTAGATGAAGAGAGAGATAGTGTTAAAGAAGAAAAAGAAAAAAAAAATAGAGAAATAAAAAAAAGACAGAAGAGAATTAGATAAAGAGAGAGATGTAAACAAAGATGAGAATAGAAAAGAGAGAAGTAGAAAAGGAGAGAAACAAGAAGAAGAAAGAAATAACTTTGTCGTAGGTCTTACAGTCTTACTTGTGATCTATTCGAGTGACACTTTGGACTCTTTGACTTTCTTATTTGTTTATTTTTTAAAACAAAAGTTCATTCTTCATATGGCTTGGATTTTCTTATTTGTTTATTAAGTTGTCAAAAGTATTCTTTTTGACTTAAAAAATAAAATAATCATTTTTTTTTTGAAAAAAAAGTGAGACGTGCCTTACATACAAATAACAATTGTAGCGCATGACTAAAACGACAACAAACATTAGACATGCACATCAAACCTAGGTGCGCGTTTAATAGTTGCATATAGTATACATGCGCATCGATATGCTGATGCTATATAAGCATGTTGGGCATTGCCATTGCACGAGTCATTCTATTACTTCCGGGCAATCTAAGTTTGTCCTTTCTATGCTGATGCTCGTAATGTTACTGACATGACAAGAAGTAGAAGGCAAGTGTCCCATGAGAGATGGCATTTATTTGACGTGTATTGGAGCATACGGAAGTCTATGTACAATATGGCTACAATAAGCATTTATATACATATAGATATTTATATAGAACATTTATAAAAAAAATAAGTATGTAGAAACATATTAAGCCCAGGGATAATAGATATACGGGAGTTATAAGCATTTATATGACTATTGTTTCTAAAAAAAATGAGCAAAATTCATTTTCCGGTATAGATTTTCCAACTACTAATCCAAGTTCCAAGACTGTCCTACATAAGATAAGGGTACAAATGTAAACACAGCAAATTTAATATTGAAATACTAGTAAAATACAATTTAACTCGATCGTTATAGAGTAACCATAACACTATAATTAAAATATACAGAAACCCAACTGCAAAATGTGAAGATTAAACCTTGTACACATCACTGTGATGAGTTAAGAAAATTAAATTAGATACCGTATTGTCAACTTCCTCCAATTATTTAAGATATTCAACTTCCTCCAATTATTTAAGATTATTTCTATTGAGTGATCATCAAATATCTGGGTACCTCATCTGATTATCATACTTTTTAGCATTTAATAAATAAGCATGGTGCACCTAGTCGTAATATATATCTTTTTAATATATATATATATATATATCTATTCAATCATTTTAGTTAATATATCTTTTTAATGTATATTATATATTTATCTATTCAATAACTTTAATTAAATATAAGTCACGCTTATTTCTTACAAGTAATGTATGTGAATAATTTCGTATAGAAGAAATCAAACTAACACTTTGCTAAAAAAAAATAATAATAATAATAAATAAATATATAAAATAGTCGTTTCTCTTACCTTTGTTATTAGAGGATTGTCGAGTTGCAAGAAAAATGGAAGGCAGGATCCCTCTTTTCCCAATTATATCCTTGCCGCGCAGCTGGATCAGTTACAAAAAGAAAGAAAGAGAGAAAAAAAGGTGTTAAACATTCACTGTTTTTTCTTTGCCACTCATAAAATACAAGTAACTTTACGATAAGAGAGAGGAATCAATCAACCACCGTTTAACTTGTCTTGAGCCTCATACTCCTCAAATTGCCTAACACCACATCCAGATAAAGAACAAAACAACAAGACATTCATTAGCGTTGGCTATCGAATAATTCAAGACCAACGTGCTTGTCATAAATCATGATGGCAAAACACACCAAGCCACAAAATAAATAAACCACCATCATGAAAATAAGTAGATGGACACACGACAAACCATTTTGGACGTTTGAAGACTTGCAAATGTTCGTCTGTCAAAGGAAAGCCCTCTTTCTTGATTTTGTATGCAATTTTTGCTCCCATTTCATCCCTTAAATCCAGGCCCGGAATCTAAAGAAGAGCAAAAATAAATAAATAAATAAAGAGAGAAAGGGATCAGAAAAATGCATTGGAAACTAATACGTATTTTACCATCAAACCCCACTTAAAAAAATATGGAGAGAGAGAGAGAGAGCTGGACACCTTCTACTGGTATTGCAAAAAGGTCAACCAACACAAAGGTTATTATGCATTCCTAATACATACGTGTGTGTATTTATATATATATTTCATGGGGAAGTATTGCAACATACTCTGAGGTGAGTAGTGTTCAAACAGTCTCCTATAACATCACCAATTCTCTCATAGATTTCAAGCAACATTATCCTATATATCATCAACCTCTGCTTTTCCTTGCAAATGTCAGCCAATTTTATCTTTTTATGGATCATTGCTTTTTTGCTCCTCATCAATTAGTGACATGATCTTAGTTGCAATGCGGCTGCTCAGTGTCTCCATTCTACCGGAACTTTCAACTTCAAAATCACAAGTGAATGGATCGAAAGCGTGAAGCCGAGCCCGAGCCAACGATGCAAGCAAAGCAGCAAACTCGATGAGAGTCCCTTACTCTGCATAGTGGCAAATGACATCCCGGATCTGCTTTGGTTCCATATGCGCTACCAGAATCTTTATAGTCATCAATGGTTGAGCCTGCCAAAAAAGTTTCAGTGAAACAAGATAAGTGACCTTTGGAGCAGCATTCCTCTGTTCTAGTCTGACATACTTAATTGTTCCAAAATATTCTAGAGAAAACTTACCATGTTTTTCTTACAAAACATGACACTCAACTTGAAGATAGATTCTTTGGGGGTCCAGTCAACAAATCGGCTGAACCAAATACACAAAACCTCAATCAAAACAATAAAATAAACAAATATGGTTCATATTTTAGTTGTGTGTGTCTAGCTCCGCTTGTGTGTGCATAAAATCAATATATATATATATATATATATATATATATATATATATAAAGAGCAATATTGAGCAGAATAGTGATTTGTACTTTAGAGATTCAAGAGCTTCATCGACCGGAAGAAATCCATGGAACTTGTTACCAACACAGTCGCATCGGACATCAATTCGAGCTCCATGGCGGAGTAAGAAGTAAGCTAAGTCATCGTTAAGGTATTGAGCTGCAGTATGCAGGCGATACAATCCATCTTCCTTTGGAATATTAAAATTAGTATTTGTTGGAAAAAATTTTGCCTCAAAAAATTTATCAATAATACACGCCTGTGATGTCACAGAACATTCAGAATCGGGTCATGGTGTACAAAAATCTATGTTAATCATATCATGAAGAAAAACAATGTACAAAGGAATTAGTTTGAATTCGCACCTCTTCATGCTCCATCAAATATGGACCCACCTGACAGTAACAGTATAAAAAAATGAAAATTTTTCACACTTGAAACATACAGTGGTAACAAAATAAAATCAAAGAAAAATTTACAAAAAGAAAAAAGTACTATGCAAATTCGTCAGAAATCCATTACAGTGATGTCAGAGAACATTCAGAATTGGGTCATTGTGCACAAAATCCATGTCTATCGTATCAAAAAGAAAAAGAAAGAAGAAACAAAAAAAGAGGAATTAGGTATTCGCACCTCATCCCCGCTTTCCGACATCGTTACAAATCCGTGATCCTCCTAACAATAACAGCAAAAAGAAAAGAATAAAGAATTGATTTTTTTTTTTCAGACTTAAAACATCAACGACTGTGTTAACAAAATAAATTGCTGTCAAAAAAGAAAAAGAACAAGAAAAAGTAATACGCATATTCAACTAACAGGCCATGATACACATTCTTTCATCTGTGATGGACTCGATTTACCCCCAAAATCTAGGGTTTTTTCTTTCTTTCTTCTCTCTACCCATCTGGAAGCCTTGACCTAAGGCTTGGGAGTTGGGGTTTCATTACATAAAAGATTTTAATACAGTACCTTATGTGAATGTGAAGATTGCAGCAACGTTCGATGTTGAAAGAGATCGGCAGTGAGGGCTGTTTTCAATGGTTGAGCAGGTGATCATTGAGTCGCTAGAGAGAAATGACGCGCAAACGAATAAGGGCAAATTAGACTAACTTCCCAGAGATTCTAGTGAACCCTTGCTGCCGCTAGAAGATTGCTGCGACCTGCAAATCCCCAGTGACGCAATCAAGCCGGCGTGATGGAAAATCACGCCGGCGACTGCAAAGCATCGCACCTGCAACTACATGTTCACAGTCCCCCTATCAATTCTGCGTGTGTATGATCCATGGAGCTCAGGCTGATGTCCGATGTAATGTTGGCAACTCCGAGCATAATGGGTTGCTCATGCTCCCTCTACATATAGCAGCACTTGAATGGACTCCTGTGAATTCCATCTTCAAGCTGATCATCATACTTTGTATACAAACAATAATATAAATAAATAAATAAATAAACAAATATATATATATATATATATATATATATATATATATATATATTGTCACCCTCTGAATCTCAAAGACCCAATTTGCGATAAAAGAAACACAATTAAATCAAAATTTAATCATCAACAGGGAACAATACCTAATGATTCCAATCATTTAGCATAGAAGTTGAATTCGAGTTGTTATCATGCTAGATTGACTAGAACCACTCCGTACTATATCGGTTGTTACAGAAAATATTAGAGTCAATCGCTGAAGGGAAATTCTCCGTTCGTCAAAATATAAATGCCTGAAAATGACAATCGGCGAACTCTCTGGCGATTTCTCAAGCCCTCAAGCCCTAGTGTACAGATAGGATAGAATAGACGGTAATATTTCTGTTTTTCGCCTTCTTTCATTTTCTGGAATTTTTCAATTTTTTCTATGGTATTTTCTTTTTTTCTCGTTTTACGTATCGAACACCGTGGGGTGTGTCGGGTGTGTCTGAGAGTTAGTTGGGGCATTTCTTCAGGACTTTTAGAAATGTACTGGTTGTCATCTTGACATTTTTTTATTTTTCGATCCGGACGATTCCGGGTGGGACCCATTACCAAAAATCGTGATGTGCGGGGGTTACGTCTCGGGTCCATTGCATTTCAGGTATTATTATTTTATGTATAATTTTATGCTAATGTGTTAATGGTGTGGTTGTAGTGTGTGTATATATATATATAGGGGTAGAGCTAGGATTGCAAAGTGAGGTGGGCTAAATATACAAAAATTTAAACATGAACACAATAATTCTTATGACAAAGATATGTTATATATATATATATATATAAAACGGAAGGCAATATCCAACACTAATCCAATCAATTTGTTGTTTGCAAATCATGAGGCAATATCCAAAAATATACATTGATCATCACAGAGGCAAAGCAGTGAAAATAAAACAATTAAATGAAATTATCTATGTGCCTTCGAGGCTTCGTTGGTTTGCTAGGCTGTGAAGCATTTTCAAAGAGATGGCCCAGATGGGAATGTTCCTGGAACTATCAGCCTTTCAGGATTCAATCACGAGTTACACCAATTGTAACGACCCTAAACTGATATAATTTTTTTAAAAAAAAAATTCGGCATGACCTCTTTTAAAAAGGGGCCTATAACTACCTACTAAAAAACGTAATGGCCCTGGCCTTTCAAGACATATCCGACTTGTCTTAACACATAATACAGTTAATATATTCCAGCATCCCATTCATCAGTTCATTGTACCTCAATATGGATTATCTCATGGTGGAACATCCATATACCATTTAATCCAAATTATCATAATTACAATCCCAAAATATATGGTTAAGATTTAAAGTACATGTCTTACAATATTTAGACAACTTATAATAAAATTACAATCCATGAATATAACTATAATAGCAAGAGTTCACAAATCTCTATACTAAATATAACAAACTAAGGTTTTACAAAAATATGGGACTTAGATACAAAAATAGCAAAATGATCTTCTAATCCAAATTAAGCCTATGGTGGTACGTCATCCACCACTTCTTTCCCGTTTCCTGAAAAATGTTAAATATAAGGGGTAAGTATAAGCTCACTAGGAAGTGCCTAAGGCACACCTCTTGAGACCCCGTGAATCCACCCAATGAATAGGAATAAGGAAATTGGGATCATACCATGCCGGGAAAAAATATATATATATAAATAACCACAATACCACATAATTAATCCGATACCACAAATGAATATGACATGCAATGATATGCCATGCCATGCAATGTCACTCCCCATTTTCCAAAACCATTTCCATCATCATTTTCAAACCGTTATTGAACCCATCCCATGGCAACTCCATGGCGGCATGAGAGGAGAATTGACCACTGTCCCTGACCCATGGCAACTCCATGACGTCATTTGGGGCCAGGTAACTCGACCACACTAGGGCAATTTCCCTAGTCCCCTCTAGACCTCACTAACGCCGTAATCCCTAGGCAACTCCTAGGCGGCCGGGTTTTTCACAAAATCCCTTTTCAAAATTCTTTCCCAAAATCCATTTCATTTCTTTCAAATCAAATTTTCCCATTCTATCACAATAAATGTATATATCTCTTATGCATTTCAATGACGTACCAATAAAGAAATTTTTATTTCTTACAAATCAAATATTTACAATATACATGCCTCATAGGAATATTCTAGGAATTTACATCATGCTTCAAAATCATAAAATTCAGCATTTTAAATCACAATAGGCATGAAATTTAACATCAATTTTACATGGTTTTTTATCATATAACAACTAACATGTATATATACACATCTCATATACAATACATAACAATTATGAAAAAATAACACAAATTAGAACACAAATTAAACGTAAATTATGAAAAAATAATTCACCAAAATCTAAGAGATTGTGGATTAAACACCCCTACCTCAAAGGAGGAGAAAACCCTCAATTTTCACCTTAAACCCTCAAAATGGGTCAAGATTTTCGGACTCCCTAGGTTGCACAAAACTGAAATTGCTAGTACACACGCGTAGAGCCCGCTGTGCTCTCCATTTTGCCGCAAACGACACTTAAAAATACTTAGTATTGAAGAAGGAATCAAGGATTGAAGCCTTGAAATGAAAAAAGGAAAAAAAGAAAAACAGAAAGGAAGAGAGAAGCAGGCAGCGGGGAGAGAGAGTGAGATAGCATAGAGCCCAAAAAAAAAAAAAACATGGTCTTATGACCACTTCATAAAATTGTGGGCCCCACAACTCAAATAAAAAAAAAATCTTCTTAACACACACACACATATATATTTGAAACATTACACCAATACTATAATAGTTAGGTCTTCAGAGAGATTGGCTTATACTTTGTAGCTTTGGTTTGCTCATTGCTGGATTGGGCCATTTGTTATTTTTGTTCTATTATGGATTGGGCATGGGCATGGCTATGACTAATTAGACTGGGCTATGGTTGATAACAAATAGTTGTACTAATTTTTTTTTTTTTTTTTTGGGACCTAGGCTGTAGCCCAGGTTAGCCCACACTAAGTTACGGCCCTATATATATAAAGGTGGGATATTTTTTTAGTGGTGGGACTCACCACCACTTACTTTTAATTTTAGTGGTCAAGAGGCCATTTTGGCCTCACTCTTTCTCTCTCCCTGGCACTCTCTTTCTCTCCCTCTTCTTTCTCATTTTTCTTTTTCTTTCTTCACAAAATTCAAGCTTTGAT